GCGAGGGTAAAAGGAATATCATTTCACGCCAAACGACCATGGGTTTTGGCGAGTTTGCACAATGGGGTGATTCAGCTTTGGGATTACCGTATGTGTACTTTACTGGAGAAATTTGATGAGCATGACGGTCCTGTACGTGGCATTTGCTTCCACAGTAATCAACCTTTATTTGTGTCGGGAGGAGATGACTATAAGATCAAGGTAAGGAGAGTTGTGACACGTTAAAGTTGACTGATACTTTACGCCATGTTTTCGTCATTTCTTACACGTCCCTGCAATTAATGTTGGCTATTATTACTTAGATAGTCGAGCAAATGATAACTGAAGCGTCATCCATAATAAATCTTTGAACAGTTAATATAAATTGCATGTTTTGGTATGACTTAGTTCCAGGAGTATTGAGGCATTTGGAACACTTCCTGTCATCAAGACAGGAGTATTGTTTGTAATGTTTCCAATTAGTTTCATCACACTTGTGTTTTTAAAAGCATTCCTTGCATCATAGCCATGATTTTTCCAATTGGAGCTCTTATTTCTCACTTTAATTTGATTCATATATCCCAATAAGAGTTGCTACATTTGATATAATGTAAGAAATCTTAACTATACTAAGTAAATCATACATATTTTATAGTTATAAAGATAAGCTCATCAGTACTTGAAATATTTCAAGACTTTTACATGTGTAAAAACAGTCAAATAAATTATATTGTACTCCATTTGTAATTTATCTCAAGTTTACTACTATATTTTTTTCAGGTATGGAACTACAAGCAGAGAAGATGCCTCTTCACCCTACTGGGGCACTTAGACTACATTCGCACAACATTTTTCCACCACGAGTACCCATGGATATTGAGTGCTTCAGATGACCAGGTATGTAACTAGTAATGTAAGATATTTAAAAGGAAAGGTGAAAAATACCATAAGAAAAACCAAAAGAAAGCATGGGGAGTGTAGCTCAAATAATGATGTACATAAAAACATTTTGGTACCTTAATTTTTGATATATCTTTCTTTGTAAATAAGATAAAAATTGTTAGTCATAAGCTATGGTAAAATTGCTATTTTGATCTTTATTTATGAGTTTTGAATATTTACAGCCACACCTTTTACAATTGATTTAAATGGTGTTATCACCATTTCCTGATATCACCATGTTATTTATCTACTTAGAACTTTTTGTACGACCAAAAATCTATTAGAAACAATCATTTCCAGACAATAAGGATATGGAACTGGCAATCTCGTCAATGCATCAGTGTCCTCACCGGTCACAACCACTACGTGATGTGCGCACAGTTCCATCCCACCGAAGATCTACTGGTCTCCGCCTCCCTAGACCAGTCCGTCCGCGTCTGGGACTTCTCTGGGCTTCGTAAGAAGAGCGTAGCACCTGGACCGGCTGGCTTGGCCGACCATTTGAGGAACCCACAAGCGACTGACCTATTTGGACAGGTTGTATGTACAGATATTCTTTTTTTAAACAGGGATCATCATCATTGGGGCTGTCTTGTCATCACTGGTAATTTTTGGTACTTCTGAAGCTGTGTAATGCATGATATATTATTATTTTAAATATTTTCAGTTCATTAATTTATAACAGGCATCATAGAACTCATTCATATTTAAAAAAAAAAAAAAGTTCTTAAAATAATGCATAAAAATGTAATGAACATGTTATCTATTTCTCTGAAACATTTTATCAATCAATTTCAGCTTTTTTTATCATTGTTATAGTTTTGTTTGGTTCTCAATAGTTTTTCCTTATCTATTAATATTTACTGGCATTGAGTTTACTCTTTCTGTTTTTGCCACAAAGATTCTAAGCTAGGCTCATCTAATTTTTTTTTTCATTCAGGTTGTTGGTTGTTATTAGGTATAATTACATCATCCTGCCTGTGAATGCGTCATCCTTGTCATTGATTCTTTTACAGATGTTATCCGCGATAGTTTTGTAACAGTATAACTATGGTGTCATTTTCATATTATATTTTTACTTGATCAATTAAAGTCCAATCTATTTAATCAAATTCGGAAATTGCGCTCACGTTATATTCATATTAAATTAGATAAAACTTATGTACAAATTTATTGCCTAAAATAACATTTAATGATTTTTAAAAGAATATACAATTAGCTGCACTCCTAAAATGTTGAATACTATAGCTCACTGAATCCACAATTTTTCCTCACCCTTCCCCAACAAATGGCTCAATATTTCACTAATCCATATCCATATCTTACTGATTTCTCATCCACCCCCAAAAAGTAGCATAATATCTCACTGATCCCTCATCCATCCCCTACAAGCTACAATGGCTCAATATCTCACAGACCCCTCACACTTCCCCTTCAAAAGGCTCAATATCTCACTGCTCCCATCCCTACAGGCCGACGCAGTCGTGAAGCACGTGCTAGAAGGACACGACCGTGGAGTCAACTGGGCAGCGTTCCACCCCTCTCTGCCGTTGATTGTCTCTGCTGCCGATGACCGACAAGTTAAGCTGTGGCGGATGAACGATGCTAAGGTAACCAGCATTTTTTTTAATAGACTATTTTGACACCATTCCCCAATAATTCGATATCACATGTTTTTAAAACAACACTTCTTTATTCTGGTCTTAAAAACATAATTAATTTTTAAAATAAACTGGCAAAATTATAAAAAAAAACTTTATCATTGAGATAAGTGGCTTTTCTATTTCAATAAAATAATTGTTTAAGTGATCGCAACTGTTAAAATTCGTTTATTGCAACTATGTATTTCATATCATATGTTGATCCAGGTGTAAGCTACTTTTGAATAGATAATTTATAGTTAGTGTGGATATATGTAAGTATTTCGTTCGCGTCGGTGTCATCATCACAGAACAGTAAATTATCAAAATATTTTTAAGATTAAAGAAATGATAAGAGAAAAGATTTTGACTTTTTGATCATTGTGGAAACCCTTGAAAAAGGTATTTGTCCAGCAGTGGACAACTTTCGATTGTCTTTCTTTAAAGCGTTCTTATGGTTTTGCGGTCGTCTTTTTCTAGGAGGCTTTTTGCTTTAGATAGTAATTTCACTTATAACAAAACTGTATTACCAGGCGTGGGAAGTGGACACGTGCCGTGGGCACTACAACAACGTGTCATGCGCATTGTTCCACGCGCGTCACGAGCTCATTTTGTCCAACAGCGAGGACAAGTCCGTGCGAGTGTGGGACATGACCAAAAGGACCTGTCTGCACACGTTCCGAAGGGAGCACGAACGGTGAGTAGACCATCATCTTTATTATCATCATAATAATCATTAGGTCTTTTAATTTTCACTGCAGAAACACGGCCCTCTCGTAATTTATCAGAGGCAAATTACACTTTTTACTCTGGCCTTGAGAACCCTGGGTTGAGAAAGGCCTAATGTGCGCATATTTCTTTAATTCTATGATTCTACCTTAGTCGAACGTGTCTTATGCGAAGTTTAAACTAGCAATAAAACTTGCAGAAGTTGACTTCTGCAAGCTGTTTACCGGTTTGTAAATAGCTGTGGCAAGCCAACTTCTGCAAGATTTACATAGTGGTGACAGCTTGCGGAAGTCAACTTCTGCAAGTTTTCTTGCTTATACTAGCACCTCTTGCTAACCTCGCTTTACGACATACACGGGAAGAGGTGGTGGTTTTTTTATTCTGCCAGAACTATAAGGCTACTAAGAATCCACCGCGCAATCACTCATTCCCTCTAGTACTGATTAGATAACGGTTACTCTAGCACGCGTCCCGTCTATACAATGCTGGCCACATACAAAATAACATTAAAAAAATTCAAATTCAAATTACAAATTAGTTATAATAAATTCGCCGAACATTTATCTCGTTCATTTACCGAACTTTGCTCACGTTCATTCGCAGCCATTCGCCGAACTTTTCTCGCGTTCGTTCGCAACCATTCGCCGAACACCGCTCGCGATCTTTCGCAGCCATTCCCCGCACATTAGTACAACTTGTATCGAACTTAATATAATTCTTTCCAGATACTGGGTGCTGGCCTCCCACCCGTCTTTGAACTTGTTTGCGGCGGGTCACGACGCTGGTATGGTGCTGTTCAAGCTGCAGCGCGAGAGGCCAGCGTACGCTGTGCACAACAACATACTGTTCTATATCAAGGACAGGTGAGTCACTGGATTTTGAACTCAATCCCCGATAACAAAAAGTTAAAAAGTGCAAGCTTTCAAGAGGAGAGCGTATCTTTACCTTAAAGGCCGGCAACGCACCTGTAACGCCCTTGGGTCTGCGGGTGTCTATGGGCGACGGTAATCACTTATCATCAGGTGATCCGTCTGCTCGTTTGCCTTTGCGTTTGCCTCCTGTCACATAAAAAAAAACTCGAGTTGATCACTAGTTTCTTTTGACTTGACATTTAGTATGAAACTCATTTAAAACACTTGTTTAACGTCTATTTTTTTTGGAATATCACCATAATAGGTTATTTATTTACATGGTCTAAAATCTATTGAAAATACATTGTTTAATGGCATGTTAATATGGTTACGATCATACTTAAGTATTAAGTATTTTTTTTTTTCAGGCAACTGCGCAAGCTGGATATGGCGACAAATCGCGACTCTGCTGTGATGCAGATCAAGGGAGGAGGTCGACATCAGCCTTACAGGTGATTACCATTCTTCATCATCATCATCATTTCAGCCATAGGACGTCCACTGCTGGACATAGGCCTCCTCCAATGATTTCCACAATGGCCGGTTACTACTACCATTACTACTGCTACCATTCTTAATCTTATTAAAAAAAAAGTTACCAACTATTTTTGTGTAGAGGATAGATTCCACGTGGAGAAGATCAACAAAAAAAAATCTTTCCTATTTTAGTACGTTTGGTTTCATCTAGCTCTTTAACGACTTCTATGAAATGCTAACTATGATACTTAGCAAGGTTTATCTGTACTTTAATTTAATACTAAGTACTACTATTTCGTTTTTATTTATTATAACATTTTATTAATGACCACTGAACTATTGTAGTCAGGTGACCCACTCCTAACAAGAGTGGTTAACGGAACTATTATTTTGTATCCGTATTACACAAATCACTAATATTCTTTAAAAAAAACATGAAGATACAAATCCCAATTTTAACCCTCAATTCTTTATAGCATGTCTCTAAACCACGCCGAATGGTGCGTGCTAGTCAACTGGCGGGTCGGCGACACGAGCTCCTACGAGTTGTATTCCGCCCCGCGAGACGGAGGCGAGGCCGCCACCGCAGAACCCGCTCGCGGTCAGGCCACGACCGCTGTCTGGGTCGCTAGGAACAGATTCGCGGCGCTGGAGAAGAATAACCAGGTTAGTCAGAACTACTATGACCAATGGGAAGTGCTACGGCTATGGCACAGATACGTACAGTGCTTCGGCACGATTCAGTGCTACGGTAAAGACTCAATGCTACAATAAAAATATAGTACTACAGCTACGTTCAGCGCTTGAGAAACATTACCAGGTAAGTGAGGACTACTACGACTAATAGGGAGTGCTACGGATCTGATACAGTGCTACGATACATAATGCTACAAAGCAGAGAGCCACAATGTGGCAAAGAACAGGTTACCCGCGGTATACAAACTACTACGAGTAAGCGGGAGTGCTACGCACAGATTCAGTGCTACGAGCTCTTACGAGTTGTACTCCGCGCCGCGGGACGGAGGCAAGGCCGCCACCCGCTCGCGGTCAGGCCACGACCGCTGTCTGGGTCGCTAGGAACAGATTTGCAGCACTCGAGAAGAATAACCAGGTTAGTAACCATAGGTACAGCGCTACGGCATAGATGCAGTGCTACGGCATAAGCCACTGCTACGACAAAATGATGGATCAGGCCACTGTAGAAGAATCACCAGGTTATTGCTATAATGTACAGACGGCTACGAATAAGAGAGTGCTACGACACAAATATAGTGCTACGGCATAGACATACATACACTGCTACTGCTACGGTCGGCGCTTGAGAAGAATAAGAATAATAGAGCGAGTGCGAGAGTGCTACAGCATAAGCAAGTTGGTACGATACACAATGCTATAACGCTGACTAAGCAGGGGTTCACTATTGTGTGAAAACTTCTACGAGTAAGCGGGAGTGCTACGGCATAGACACAGCTACGTGCTCTTACGAGTTGTATTCTGCGCCGCGAGACGGAGGCGAGGCTGCTACCGCCGAGCCTGCCAGAGGACAGGCCACTACCGCTGTCTGGGTCGCTAGGAACAGATTCGCAGCACTGGAGAAGAATAACCAGGTTAGTAACCATAGGTACAGTGCTACGGCATAGATACAGTGCTACGGCATAAGCCACTGCTACGACAAAATGATGGATCAGTCCACTGTAGAAGAATCACTAGGTTAGTGCTATAATGTACAGACGGCTACGAATAAGAGAGTGCTACGACACAAATATAGTGCTACGGCATGGACATAGATACATTGCTACTGCTACGGTCGGCGCTCGAGAAGAATAAGAATAATAGAGCGAGTGAGAGAGTACTACGGCATAAGCAAGTTAAGCCATTGGTACGATACACAATGCTATAACGCTGACTAGGCAGGGGTTCACTATTGTGTGAAAACTTCTACGAGTAAGCGGGAGTGCTACGGCATAGACACAGCTACGTGCTCTTACGAGTTGTATTCCGCGCCGCAGAACCCGCTCGCGGTCAGGCCACGACCGCTGTCTGGGTCGCTAGGAACAGATTTGCAGCACTGGAGAAGAATAACCAGGTTAGTAAGTGCTACGGTTTACCAACTGCTACGATTAACAGGGCGTGCTACGGCATTGATACAGTGCTACGGCATAGATTCAGTGCTACGGTATAGATACAGTGCTACGACACATCATTTTTAAAACAAAATGTCACAACGAGGCAAAGAACAGGTTAACTTAGTATACAAACTGCTCCGAGTGAGCGGGAGTGCTACGGCACTGGTACAGTGCTACGGTATGAGCAACGGCTACGTACGACGCACAAACAAAGCATCAATACTACGACGCAGAGAGAATACTACGGCATAGGTACAGTGCTACAGTATTAGCTGCTACTACGATAAATATACGGTGCTACTATTACGACGAAGCCCTCTAACTTCGGTGTCTCCTTTTATTTTAGGTTAAATTCGTTTCATTCCACTTCTTCATCACTTATGCTGGATTTCTATATTCAATCCTAATCCAAATTGGACGGATTTGGATTGTCAACTGTCAAATTTTAATATGTTTTTGGCCAAAATATCTGCGGTTTTTTATGTTTTTACATTTTTATATTGTTTATGATGACTATTTAAACAATATTAATGTGTAAATGCATCGAACAATTTGGAAATATAATCTAAAACTGAATTCAATGTGACAGTTGTAATCCGGATTTAGACACGGATTGAATATAGGAAACGGTCGTTAATCGACATTTTTTAATCATTGAATCCCTTGTTTGTTACCTGTTGTGTATACCTTAATGAATAAATAAATAAATAATTATTCTTCTTCAACAGCTGGTCATCAAGAACCTAAAGAACGAGGTCTCCAAGAAGATATCCACCCCTACTTGTGAAGAAATAATGTACGCCGGTACTGGCATGTTACTGCTGCGCGAGCCTGATAGCGTGCAGCTGTTAGACGTCCAGCAGAAGAGGACCATTGCCAGCGTGAGTATAATAATAATAATAAATATCGTTCCATTCCAATAAATACCGTTCTGTTGCGCGCCTTTTTGCCAGGAAGTGTTACGAATCGACACGAATTTTATAATATTTTATATTGATAAACCGTCACTGTCAAAAGGGCGCTTAGTTGGCGTAATAACCCCCATGTTGGTACCCGCTGAAAACCAGCTTCGTGACTTGACGACTTGTGTGTGTCATGTCACGATTTTCACTGAGCGGGCGCCTTTTCAGCATGGCTCAGTAATATTTAACCTCTGTACATGTATGCACATAAATGTTAATGCTGAATAAAGGTATTCTATTCTATTCTATTCTATTCCACATTTTACACTGCGCCGTCCAGTCCCAAACTTATCAGAGCTTTTACTATGGTTATCAGCTCATGGTACAATCAGCGTCAAATAGTTCGTGACACCTAAAGTGGCCAATAAGTTAACAACACAACCTTATTCCAATTGTGACGTGACAGACGTGAAAGACGTGTTGGGGACAACGGATATAAACAAACTTATTTTTTTTTAAATTACAAACACATTATAAAACACTTAGACCAAAACAAACAAATACCTATGTTAAAGTACACAAATGTTTTAAAATGAAATGTTTGCATGGTGCGGAGATAGAAACCGCGACAATACTGATAGACACTGTATTGTACACAAACCTTTTTGTCTTTTAGTGATTGTAAGGCAAATATTTGCATGTTTACCGCTAAAACAGTTTTTAACACAATTTCATTTATTTTAGGTGAAAATCGCCAAATGCCGCTACGCAGTCTGGAACGCCGACATGTCTTTAGTAGCTTTACTCGGCAAGCACACCGTCACTCTCTGCACCAAAAAGTTGGAACAGTTATGCAGCGTGACCGAAGGAGCCCGGGTCAAGTCCGGGGCCTTCGACGACTCCACGCCGCAACCAGTATTCATTTACACCACGGCCAACCATATCAAGTACTGCTGTAAGGATGGGTGAGTCGTTTTGTGTCTTAATGGGAAGTTTTAAAGGTCCTTTTTCTCTGGCACACCGTCACCCTTTACTCTAAGAAGCTTCGAAGACTCCACGCCGCAACCAGTATTCATTTACACCACGGCCAACCATATCAAGTACTGCTGTAAGGATGGGTGAGTAGTTTTATGCTTTAAGTACTAGTTTTAAAGGTCATTTTGCCCTGGCACACCGTCACCCTTTACTCTAAGAAGCTTCGACGACTCCACGCCGCAACCAGTATTCATTTACACCACGGCCAACCATATCAAGTACTGCTGTAAGTATGGGTGAGTAGTTTTATGTCTTAATGGTAAGTTTTAAAGGTCATTTTGCTCTGGCAAGCACAATGTAATCTTCAGCTAATGTTGACAACCTTCGGAAATTTGGCGAGGCGAGGAGAGGTTACTCGAAGCGGAGCGAAGTGTATGTCCACACTATTTGGAGTCAGTTTTAAAGGTAATTTTGTTCTGGCAAGGACACTAACCATCAGCTAATATGGACAACTTTCGGAAGTCGGGCGAGGCGAGCCAAGGTTGCTCGAAGCGAATCAAAGTGCGTGTCCACACTATCTACTTCGATCATCTTCGGTCAACTTCGCGAGTAGTGTAGCAGAGGTATTACTCCGCGCCAAGAATGTACCGACACAAACACGTGAACCCGCGTAAGTTTTAGCGGAGGCCCTGAAACTTGAAAATTTTGTCAAGGTTACCCAATAACTCGGTATCTCACCGGTCAAAGCAATGGTACGACTAGCCATAAGGACAAATTGGACCTTCGTTAGTTGGGTTTTTATTGGCGGTCAAGCTATACAGGGTGTTAGGTAAATGGGTATATGAGCCGACACTAGCCCATGTTAACATAGGCATATAAATGGTATGGTGAAGTCAGAAATTTGATATCATCATTTTATTTTTTTTAAATTTTCATACAAAATAAATTTTATAAAATCCGATTTGTATGAACATTAAAATAATTAAAATGAAGATATCAATTTTCTGATTTCACCATACCATTTATATGCCCATGTTAACATGGGCTAGTGTCGGCTCATATACCCATTTACCTAACACCCTGTAGATCCTGGCTACACAGGAGTTGCAGCGGTGGGAACAGTCCCGTCTGTTCTTACCTCAAATTCCCATTAAGGCTGTTTTTTTCAAGTTTTTAAAATATATAATATTTCCGCAGTGACTACGGCATCATTCGCACGCTGGACGTGCCCGTATACGCAGTTAAAGTCGTCGCCAACGAGGCAGGCGCTCGCGTGGTCTGTTTGGACCGGGAAGCGCGCCCTAAGGTGCTCAATATTGACCCCACTGAGTACAGGTTAGTAAAAATTTGTTTTCATTAGTAAGGTAGCCTAAGCATTTGCTCGCGGCCAAGCTTGCCTTTTGGGGGATTATAGATCCACTTTTCAATCCTTCAGGAGTAAATTTAGAAAACGTTAAGACGTGTTTCAAAAAAGACGGATATCCTTATGAACTTTTTCACCCCCTTAAGGTTCAATTTCAAAAACTTCAGTCATAAAAATAACACACTGAAAACACTGTTTTTCCCCAATAGTTACGAAAAATTACATATTTGTATGCATAAAACGTAAAACACTTAAATTGAGTTGCACCATTTAACTTACTCTGACAAATGTCAAAAATCTGTCAAACTCCATAATATTATTGTTATTCTTACGGTTAAAATAAGGTAGTGCAACTCAGCCTTACAGTAACAAAAACGATTTATTTACGAATTATTATGTTATAGATTCAAATTGGCGTTAGTGACACGCCAGTACGACCAAGTGTTACACATGGTGCGGACAGCGAAACTTGTCGGCCAGAGCATCATCGCGTATTTGCAGGAAAAAGGTAAGGAATAACAGTAGTCTTTACCTTGCTAATTAATGTTAAAATTTATTTTCACATGCAGGCTACCCACTTCGTTAAAAACGTTCGCACGCAGGTTTCGATTATTTATTAGTCTTACGGTGATAATCTCAACAACTATTTTCGCATACAGTCTACCCAGAGATTGCGCTCCAATTTTTTTATTTATTTTTTATTTGTGAGAGATGCTCGCTCGTTGGTATCGAATTGTAGTCTTTACTTCACTACTAATACTAATAGCAGTCGTTCTCGTTACCCAGAAGTGGCGCTACTGTGCTAGTATTAACAACTATTTTCTCACACATGCTACCTAAAAGTGGCAATCTACTTCGTTAAAGACGCTCGGACACGTCTCTCTTTGGTGCTGCAGTGCGAGAACATAGAACCAAACAAATATAGTCTTTACGTCACCAGTAATAGCAATCGTTTTCGCACCCAGGCTACCCAGAAGTGGCGCTACACTTCGTCAAAGACGCCCGGACTCGTCTCTCACTCGCATTGCAGTGCGGCAATATAGAGGTGGCTTTGGAAGCAGCTAAGAGCCTCGACGAGCCCGACGCGTGGGACAAACTGGCTCAGTCCGCTTTGGCCACCGGCAATCACCAGGTAAGTCAACCATTTGAGATGAATTTGATGTAACTTCTACCTTTTTCTCGATTAATTTTCCAACGTACAGTCGATAGCACATAAAACTATACACTTTTGTTGCGAAATAAGGAACTATTTCACAACTACAAAAGATACTACAGTGTTAAGCTTGATGTGGCGCCCTCTGTGTATCTGTATCTGCTGTCTAATATAGCGACAGTGCATGAGTTCCGCGATTTTTCGAGAAGTAAAATATAAATTTTCTTAACACGCAATGTCTGTGTTTGTTCATTGTTCCTGTATTATATTAGCATACTGTAGTTAAAAAAGTTAGCATAAAAAAGTTTCTGAATTTCGTTATAAAATTATTGTTTTTACTTTGACCATAGCATGGCCTTCCAAATCTTCATGTTCCCTAAAATAAAAATGTTCGTCAAGATGTTAAAACGTGCTACTCGCTTTCCTGATAGGTTTTTTCACCCTGTTACACGATACGACATTATGGGCCTTATTACAAAAAGTTAAACCTGGGACGAACTCTGGTTTAAAATGACATTTCCATACTAAATGTCAATTTAAACCAGAGAGAGATCAACCAGAGTCTAACTTTTTGTAATAAGGGGATATTTGTCTTATGTTTGGGATATGTGTCTTGGTTTATACAAGTCTGATTTCAGTTTAATGTAGCTTCTAATACAATTTTTATCCGCAGATCGTCGAGATGTGCTACCAGCGTACCAAGAACTTCGACAAGCTCTCATTCCTATACCTCATCACGGGCAACCTCGAGAAGCTTCGCAAGATGATGAAGATCGCTGAGATCAGGAAAGATGTCTCCGCACAGTTCCAGGGAGCATTGTTACTGGGAGATGTGAAAGAAAGGATACGACTGCTGAAGAACGCTGGACAGGTGACTATGCACTCTATTTTTATAGCAATAAGGTCGGTATTACAACGCCTGCGCAGTTCCAAAGGGCGTTGCTGCTTGGAGATGTGAAAGAGAGGATACGATTGCTGAAGAACGCTGGACAGGTGATTATGTACTCTATTTTTATAGCAATAAGGTCGGTATTACAAGGCCTGCGCAGTTCCAAGGGGCGTTGTTACTAGGAGATGTCAAAGAAAGGATACGGCTGCTCAAAAACGCTGGACAGGTGACTATGCACTCTATTTTTATAGCAATAAGGTCGGTATTACAACGCCTGTGCAGTTCCAAGGAGTGTTGTTGCTTAGAGATGTGAAATAAAGGATACGACTGCTGAATAATAATGCTGGACAGGTGATTATGGGCTTTATTATTGTAGCATTAAGGTCGTTTTTACAACACCGATAAGTAAGATCGCAGAGATCAGTAAAGATGTCTCCGCACAGTTCCAAGGGACGTTGTTGCTTGGAGATGTGAAAGAGAGTATACGGCTGCTCAAAAACGCTGGACAGGTGACTATGCACTCTATTTTTATAGAAATAAGGTCCGTATTACAACGCCTGCGCAGTTCCAAAGGGCGTTGTTACTGGGAGATGTGAAAGAGAGGATACGACTGCTGAAGAATGCTGGACAGGTAATAATATTCGCCGGTTTGTTGGAATCGAACTAGCGACATGCTAGCCTAGAATGCACGCACGATATAATCTTATCGACGCATTTTATCGATTTGAGATGATAAGCCCATGCAATATTTTGTCGTCTAAAATCGTCTTAATATCTTGATAAGAATTTATCGTAGGCCGGGTTAGGGTGCGCGCCGTGATAATATCTTATCGATGATTTTAGACGTTAACATGTATGGGGTTATCGCGCGAAATCGATATAATTGCGCGATATACGCTTAACACGGGCGCAACCTAGGCCTACAGGCCGGATAAATTATTGGTAGAAATTAGAGTTTAAACTTTCTTCTGTTCCAGTAAGATCCAAAACTTAGACAATTTTTTTATTCTATAAAAAATAGAACCATCTAAGCTACCCTTATTCTTTTCGTGCCATGTCACGAAAGTACATTTTGCTGTCTGTGTTGCAAATTACAAAATACACAATGTTTTCGTGTGAAATAATTTTTTCTTTCTATCATTCCTTCAGATATCCCTGGCCTACTTAACAGCTGTCAACCACCACCAAACAGAGGAAGCCGAGCAACTGAAGGCTGCCTTAGAGGCCGCCAGCTTGCCCGTCCCGGCTTCAAACCCGGATGCTGTGGAGCTGAGGCCCCCGCTGCCGGTCTATAGGGCCCAGCCTAACTGGCCGCTACTCGCTGTGTCCAAGTGAGTGTTCTAGATTCTATTAATGTGGCGTTACGGTCGGTATTATAACACCGATTTGAAAACTAGCTGCCAGCTTACCAGGCCCAGCTGAATTGGCCGCTGCTCGATGAGTCCAAGTAAGTGTTCTCAACTCCATTCATCATTTCAGCCACAGGACGTCCACTGCTGAATATAGACCTCTCTCAATGATTTCCATATCGCCCGGTTAGTAACGGCCTACATCGAGCGCCTTTCTACTACCTTTATGAGATCGTCGGTCCATCTTGTTAGTGGATGCGTTTTCCGGTACGAGGCCTCCACTCCAGAAACTTGCTGCCCCATCGGCCGTCAGTTCTGCGTACTATGTGCCTTGCCCATTGCCCATTGCCACTTCAGCTAATCCGTCGAGCTATGTCAGCGACTATAGTTCGTTTATGGATTTCCTCATTTCTGATTCGATCACGTATAGGAACACCGAGCATAGACTCCATTGCTATAACATTAAGGTCGATATTATAATACCGATTTGCCGAGCAACTTAAGGCTGCCTTAGAGGCTGCCAGCCTGCCCGTCCCGGCTTCAAACCCCGATGCTGTGGAACTGAGGCCCCCGCTGCCGGTCTATAGAGCCCAGCCCAACTGGCCGCTGCTCGCTGTGTCCAAGAATGCACTCATTCTTGTGGCAACCAAACTTCTTTAAGAGGTTTATTTCTGCTAATATCGAGCGGAAAATTTATATTAATATTCATAATAAAGTAGTGGACATTCTAGTCAATTTTATTGTCACACTTTTGTAGAGCTGTCAAAATGTCGATTATCAAATTATTATTAGCAAATTTGGCATGGCCATGAAGGAAGACATAAGATCGCGAATTAAATTGTGTAGGTGATACCCAGTTGACATCTAATCTTTCCCAAACACAACTAAAAAAAAGACAGCATTCTAGTCATTATATTCTAAGTTTCTTCTCAGTTAGCCATTAAATTTGATTTTTAGTGGATTTGAAATCAACGAATTGTCTGCCCCTATGACGTCATGGGGACTACAAAATTCTGCAAAAAGTCGGTGACACTGCTGTCGCGCATCATCATAATTAAAACCATGATTACTGTTACTTTCGATACACAACCATCGCGATCGCTGTCCATATTGGACTTCTTTTTTGTCGTCCTTCAATCTCCAAGTGTCTCAAAACAATCCGTTGTTTCCCAGGAGTTTCTTCGAGGTAGCGGGCGCGGCCCGAGCGACGGCGGGCGAACAGGGCGCGGTTGCGGCAGCGGGCGCTGCGGTCGTCGGCGACGAGCCTTTAGAAGCTGCGGGCGCCTGGGGCGACGACGACGACGTGCTGGCTAAGGTATACCACCATCCACACACCTCCAGGAGCCTAAAGCTGGTTTTAAGAATAAAAATACTTTATTCAGCATAGGACAATCTGGCCAGGTGGGGATTCTTAGATGGCTTGAACATGGAGTGCGGGTGCGGTTTTGTTCCCCAGTCGATGAGGCACCTGATGTCATGCCCTGAGTGCCCAAGCAACTGCACTCAGGAGGATTTGATGAGTGCCACTGACAACGCCACTCTTGTGGCGGAGTTTTGGGCTGACACTGTGTAGGTTTGTTGTCGACACGACAAGAAGAATAAGCATAGAAAAATAAAATAAAAATACAGTACATAATTATAACATTAAACTACAAGCTATGCTGAAGAGGCGTCCGCTCAGCTATATTCGCGACATAACAAGCGCCATGTCGAGAAGCTGGTTTTCAGCGGGAACCAACACGATGAAGATTGCGGATTGCGCGCCCTCTTGACCGGGACCTTATTGAGGCTACCAGCCAAGAAGGCGCGCAACAGGGGGCGTTATGGACGGTGATCACAAAAAAAGAGAGAGAGAGAGAGAAAAAAAAACAAAACAAAAAAAGAAAACAATATTAACACAATACTAAACAGAATCAAAAACTAAAAGTTTTAGTGTCACGCGGACCGTCAGTGCGGATCCGCTCCACACAGCCGACCTGTACAAACTTCTAGGGAGCGTTTTTAGAGTAATGCGGTCCGCAGGAACCGCTCGCTCCCTAGCAGTTCATATAGATCGGCTGTGCGGAGCGATCCGCACTGACGGTCCGCGTGATACTAAAACCAGCCTAAGAGGTGTGGGCGCGGCGGCCGTGGGCGACGCGACGACATGCTGTAAAATAAAATTCATAAAAATTCATAAAATTCATTTATTTTTGCAAATAGGCTTTAAAAAAGCGCTTTTACACGTCCCAATATTAACCCTACCACTGCTTCGGGACAATAAATGGGCCAGTGCTGAGAAGAAGCAGCGCAAGAAACTCAGTCACTATTGTCAGCCTCCTTTTCAAGGTTTTACAATCTTTAAAATATACAAATTATAGTCATAAGTATTAATGCGAGCTAGGTAGTTAAACATTCCAAACATTATTATCTTTTATATAATCATCAACTTTATAGTAGCCCTTTTTCATTAAGGTGCTTTTGATATGTGCTTTAAATTTATGAATGGGCAATTCTACAACAGTTTGTGGTAATTTATTAAAAAGTTTAATACATTTCCCCATAAATGAATTACCAATCTTTCTTTCTTTCAATCTTGTGCAGTCTGAAATTTGGAACGTCAAGTTTATTTTTGTTTCTTGTATTGAACTTGTGTAATTTACTCTTTCTAGTAAATTGCTCTATATTTTTGCGAACATATAATATAAGTCTAAGGTAAGTAAGGTCTAAGGTATACCCACCATCCACACGCCTCCAGGAGTCTCTCCGTGGGCGACGAGCCTTTAGAAGCCGCGGGAGCCTGGGACGACGACGACGACGTGCTGGCTAAGGTATGCCACCATCCACACGCCTCCAGGAGTCTCTCCGTGGGCGACGAGCCTTTAGAAGCCGCGGGAGCCTGGGACGAGGACGTGCTGGCTAAGGTATACCACCATCCACACGCCTCCAGGAGTCTCTCCGTGGGCGACGAGCCTTTAGAAGCCGCGGGAGCCTGGGACGAGGACGTGCTGGCTAAGGTATACCACCATCCACACGCCTCCAGGAGTCTCTCCGTGGGCGATGAGCCTTTGGAAGCCGCGGGAGCCTGGGGCGGCGACGACGACGTGCTGGCTAAAGTATGTCGAAATTCATCATCAGGTCACTCAGTCTGCTGTCGATACAGCGAATAGACGTCGGCTGCTGGACAAAGGGCTTCCCCGAGGATTTTTGCAACGATTGTCACTGCACTGCCCGCATCCAAGTGCTTCCGGTGACCTACACCAGATCGTCAGTACACCGAGTAGGAGGCCTGCCTGCTTACACTACGTCTTCCAGTTTTCAGGAAGGGGAGGCTTGGTTTAGAGCTCGCATATTTTTCCTTCGTCCTATTACGACATGCACGGGAAGAGTAGAGAAAGTTATATCTTACTCCGTTGGGTGCAAGGTTGCAGTAGCTGCCTATTTACACCAACTAACCGTGTACTCCACCTAAATCCCCCGAAATAAGAACAGATCGGACGGTAAAATAAGTTAAGGACTTCCTACCGAATGCAATACGAATACTCGTATACTCGTACATTCTAATGTTTCGAATGCCAATATACGAGTATTGCATTCGATATGGCATAGCAAACCCTAGTTATGCACATATCGCTTGGTAACTCCTTACTTAACTTATTTTAATTTATTTCCCAGGAGGATGGCGACGGAGAAGAAGTTATGGAAGACGCGTGTGATGACGGAGGCTGGGACGTGGGCGATGAGGACCTGGAGTTGCCCGAGGAACTTGCCCCTGTCTCTGGTGAGTGTTACTTTATGGGTTACAATTTTATTGTAATACTAGCTTTCCGCCCGCCGCTTCGCCCGCGTGGATTTTTGTCTGTCACAGAAAAACTTTATCGCGCGCGTCCCTGTTTCAAAAACCGGGATAAAAACTATCCTATGTTCTTTCCCGGGACTCAAACTATCTCTATGCCAAATTTCATCAAAATCGGTTGCGAGGTTTAAGCGGGAAAGCGTAACAGACAGACAGACAGACAGACAGAGTTACTTTCGCATTTATAATATTAGTTGGGAAGATAACAAACATTTTTCCACTTCTTGTTTCCATAATTGAAACTCCACTGTCGCCAAAGTTTACGACTGAAATAATTGATGTATGTAAAAATTAAATTATAATAAGCACTTTAAATTCCCGTTGGGTTTCGTCAGTGTCTCTGTTACTGTTAATGTGATAAATTGAAAATTATTAATAATAACCGGTTATTATGAATAATTACCGACATTCGCGGTAAAAGTGATAAATTAATCACATTTAACAGTGATTATTTAATAATTCAACCTTAGTACTAACAAATTTCTTAAAAGAGAACAACATCTTGTGTACGTGCTCGTGTACAGCCAAAATTTTGAACGTTTTGATATCATTATATTAATATAATTTGGCATAATGAGTTTGGAATGTTTCTTGCATAATATTACTTTTCCATGATGCCTATAACATAATGTTTTGATTTAAAGTGAAAAATAGGTTAAAGTGTGCCGGGGGTGGCCTTTGGGCCACCCCTAAGCCGCCTATTTAGTTTTATATACCTAAATTCTTTAGAAACTTCCTCAAATGTAAACAAACACTTGTGCACACAATAACACCATAATCACTTACATGTTCATAATATCATACACATTATTTCACAAGCCCATGAAACCAACTTTATTCTCACGATTATACAAGTTTGGAATCAATCTTTAAACAAATTATTTTAGCAAAATATGTGGACGTTGAAAATTTGTGAGACTTGTCAAATTGACTTGAAGTTTAAAATTATGTGTTATCTCCATGTTGTCTCTGACACATCAGTGTTGTAACCTGTAAGTCATAGACAATAATCGGTAAATTTAATCGATTTTATTTCAATTATTCAATCATTTTTATTACTGATTGCATTTAAATAAGTGATAAATTAATCACATTTAACAGTGATTATTTAATAATTCAACCTTAGTACTAACAAATTTCTTAAAAGAGAACAACATCTTGTGTACGTGCTCGTGTACAGCCAAAATTTTGAACGTTTTGATATCATTATATTAATATAATTTGGCATAATGAGTTTGGAATGTTTCTTGCATAATATTACTTTTCCATGATGCCTATAACATAATGTTTTGATTTAAAGTGAAAAATAGGTTAAAGTGTGCCGGGGGTGGCCTTTGGGCCACCCCTAAGCCGCCTATTTAGTTTTATATACCTAAATTCTTTAGAAACTTCCTCAAATGTAAACAAACACTTGTGCACACAATAACACCATAATCACTTACGTGTTCATAATATCATACACATTATTTCACAAGCCCATGAAACCAACTTTATTCTCACGATTATACAAGTTTGGAATCAATCTTTAAACAAATTATTTTAGCAAAATATGTGGACGTTGAAAATTTGTGAGACTTGTCAAATTGACTTGAAGTTTAAAATTATGTGTTAACTCCATGTTGTCTCTGACACATCAGTGTTGTAACCTGTAAGTCATAGACAATAATCGGTAAATTTAATCGATTTTATTTCAATTATTCAATCATTTTTATTACTGATTGCATTTAAATAAATTTAAATAGGGTCATAATCAACAATGTATTTTTTCTTCATTGAATGTACTACTATAGTAAACAATAATTTCAATCCGCGATTAACGAGAGGTTTTGTCGCCTCACTAGGGCACAGATTATAAATGTTTTAATGTCAGTTGGCCATATTTGTTTACATATAGGGAAATTTCTAAAGAATACTTTACACACATTAATGACCTCATATTAATCACATTTACCAAATCATGCGGTAATTATTCATAATAACCGGCGATTATTCATAATTTTCAAATTTATCACTTTGACCGTAACATCTCTATAACTCCCTTATTACAAAAAGTTAATCTCGCGTTGATCATTACTTTAAATTGTGTTCATCGCACGTTTAGCTGCTTTGTAATAAGGGAGCATGAATTCGAAGCTACGATCAACAATGTCTAAAAAGAGATACAAAACAGAGTAGATTGTATTGTACTAAATATTTTATCAAGTAACAATACAATTTCACTTTCTCAGCGGACATCGACGGCGGCGAGGAGTCGTCGACATACTTCGTGGCGCCCACGCGTGGGATTAGCGCCGCCATGTCGCCCAAACTGCGGACGGCGCACGACCACGTCGCTACTGGACAGTTCGAGATTGCTTTCAGGTGACTATTACACTCAGATAAAGATATATTTGGATTTTGAAACCTAGCTTGAAGAAGTAAGGTTCAAAGTCTGTCTCGCTTCTCGCTTTCAACTAATGGAGTTGTTGATAAGTGTTTTAATTAGTTTTATTTATCAGTTCATCACAGCTTGTATAATACATCCGAAAGCAAGTTAACCTACCCCAAAATTACAGATGTAACAGTTTTCTTATAAGAGCTAGTAATAAGTATAATGATGCTTACAGTGATATCGACATATTTCATTTGAAGTTTGCGCAGTTTCGTCGCCTATTGAAGGGTTTATAGATTTCGAACTTCATTATTATAAAGATTTTTTTAAATCCACTATTAAGAATGTAAAGTTTTGTTGTGCATTTTTTATATTTTGTGATTTTAAATTGCTCGCACTCTGCATAACTTTCGATTAACTTGTAAAGTTTATCTGTGGAAACTGATTAGGCTACTGTACTGTTTTTATTTTTTAAGTTCACATGTATAAACTCATGCTGTTTGTTTCCTTAATAAAGAAAAAATAAAATAAAAAATAAAAAATGACGAAGTTTCTCAACGTAAAATTATCAAATTCGTGTGACGTACTTTATAGATGGCCCCTTATTGGGGAAAGGTGTCAAATTGTCTATTAAAATGTCTCCAGGCTTCTGAACGAACAAGTGGGCGTGGTGAACTTCGAGCCGTACCTGGAGACGTTCTTGGGCATGCTGTCTCGCTCGCACGTGACGTTCGGAGCGCTGGCCAGCGTGCCGCCGCTCACCGCGCACCTGCATCGCAACTGGAAGGAGGCCAGCGGGAAGGACCTTCTGCCTGTTATAAGTAAGTACTGTTAAACGTATTTGAATTCAATTCGGTAATTTGCATTTTAACTTTTATTCCAAACTAGCTGACCCGGCGAACTTTGTTCCGCCTTAATGGCAATAAATAAGCAGACTTTTTTTTTATTTCGAACGGGATAAAAAGTATCCTATGTCCTTCTCCTGGCTCTAAACTACCTCCCTGACAATTTTCAGCCAAATCGGTTCAGCCGTTCTTGAGTTATAAGTGGAGTAACTAACACGACTTTCTTTTATACAGGGTGTTTGGCGCATCGTGTGCCAAAATGATTTGGCGGATAGAATGGGTCATTTCCTATATTTTCAGCCCCCATAACACGTTCCATGCCAGGCGGCTACTTTTAAATTATTATTTTTAGTAATTTCACCAAAATACCCAAATCGCATCATTTAATGTCGATTTAAAAAAAAACTACTAGGCGTAGCCTCAAAGTAAATATTTTGTTTTGACGTGCGTTGATGTAGGGTTGCATCAAATCTAAATTTACTATCAAATATCGTCTAGTTTTTTTTAAATTCAGCTTTGAAGTTTTCCGAAAAGTAAAAAATGGACTGAACATTTAAGTTTACATGGCTATAAATTTTTTTTTAAAAGAGATA